GGGCAGCTGGGAGGTGGTTTGTGTGTGGGTCTGAAGCTGCATCTAAGTCGCAGTATCCTAGGGGGAGCTGATGTGACAGGCCCAGATGCGACTGCCCATGGAGGGCACACACTGATGAGAGTGGAGGGCAGGGAGGCTCCTACCCCTGAGCTTTCCGAAGGTCTGAGAGAAGATGAGAAGCCTCAGTAGAAACCTTTAGCTCATTAGAAAGAAACCAGAATACCAAGAAAACCACAATTTAACAATTCTCCAAAATGTAATTATATTTCAAAAGCAAAATTAGAAAAAGACATTCAGCTTCTAATTTGTACAATGTTTCATGGGATGTGGCTGCATTTTAGCATATTTAATACATCTGACGTGATGTGGGCGAGGCCCCTCCAAAGGCATCGCTCCTTAAGTCTAAGAAAGGAGGTAGGGTGTGAGAAGTCATCTTCTCCTTCACGGGGACCCACACCCCTCATTCCACAGCCCCCAGGACTCTCCTCCTTCCCAGGGGTGAACTCTCCTCTCTGGCTTTTCCTCCATCCTGCCAGGTCCCTCACCCTTGCAGAGGGGTGATGTCCTGATGAACATCATCTGGGGTCGCATTGTCCCTCAGGTGTCCCACCGTGGCCTCCACGCTGCTTGATCTGGTCAGGCAGTCCCCACAAGACTGGTCCTGATTAACCTCATCTGAGGTCACCCTCTCCCACAGGTGTCCCATCATGGCCTCCATGCTGCTTGGTCTGGTCCGGATGAACATCACCTGGGGTCTCGTTCTCCCTCTGGTGTCCCACCATGGCCTCCACGCTGCTTGGTCTGGTCAGGATGATTCTGAGCGCCCCCTTGCTGTCCGCCTGCTCCGCACCTTCTGCCAACTCCAGGCAATAGCATCCTATGCTTTCTCCAGGCAAGTGTCCCTGTGGTACCACCCTGCTGGAGTAGATCTTGTTCTTATTGTCCATCCGCCCCTCCCCACTCCCACTTCTCAGGACCTTATTTCACACCCCACCCCCTCCCAGTGCTCCACTGACCTGCCTGGGCTCCTCAGCACCTGCGTGGTCACTGCCCCTGCACAGGGCCTGGAAAGGACTCACCACCAAGTAGCCGACCCAGGAGGCAATGGACATATGGCTGGATCTCATCTTGGCCAGTCATTCCCTAAAAGAAAGTTTGTAAGGAGTCAGAAACCTCTCCCACTTAAAAGCAGATGTCCAGAATTTAAACTCTGCTTCTATCTCAGAAAACTGGAGGTTTTCCATGTGAGAGAATATTCTGGTCAATGTCGCCAATATCACCAATATATAATATAGACAGAATAGCTCTTTCCCATCCTCAGTAACATGGGGACTTCAGAGTTTTTTAAAATATTGAATTGTTGCAAAATACACATTAAATGTTAAAAACAACAACACTAAACATCTTAGGCTTTTTTTTTTCTTTTTTTTTTTTTTGAGACACAATCTCAATCTGTCACCCAGGCTGGAGTGCAGTGGCAGGATCTCAGCTCACTGCAACCTCCGCCTTCCGGGTTCAAGCAATTCTCCTGCCTCAGCCTCCTGAGTAGCTGAGATTACAGGTGTGCACCACCACGCCCAGCTAATTTTTTTGTATTTTTAGAAGAGACGGGTTTTACCATATTTGCCAGCATGGTCTCCAACTCCTGACCTTCTGATCTCCCCACCATGGCCTCCCCATCTTAGGCATTTTTAAGAACACAATATAGTCATACTAAGGATATTCATTTGCATGAAACCTGTCCTCAGAACGTCTTCACGCACATGAAACAACTCTGCATCTCCCTGTCCCTCCCGCCCCTGGCAGCCCACATCTTACCTTTTTATTTTCTGCGAATGACTCTAGATACTTTATACAATATCGTTTACTTTAAAAGTTCCAAAAGTATGCTCAGGAATTAGCCACCCCAAGTTTAGTGAACACCTAAACACCAACTTTAAAGCCTGCGCTCTTCTCCACCATATGTTCATTCATTCATTCTGGACACCATGTGCCGCGGGGTGCGTTTGAGTGTCTGGGAGACAGTGTTGAACTTCTTTATAGAGAATCGTCTGTGCTGCAAATATATTTTCTGCGTGGCTTGCCATTTTAGTCTCTTAATGCTGTCTTTTTGACACCGAAACCTTAAATGTGGTCAGATACATTAATCTTTCCGTTTATGGTTATTGCTTCCTCAACTGCCACTTATGGCATCTTTTCCTAATTTGAGGTCCTGAAGATATTTTTCTGTTATCTTATAGATCAGTGCCATCCAATAAAAATATGAAGTGAGACACGTATTGTCTATCTACACTAAATACTGTCTATCTAGACTCAATATCATCTAGTATCCACATTGAAAGAGAAAAAGGAACCTGATAAAATAATTTCAAAGTTTCAATGTAAAAATTGAGACATGGCCAGCCATGGTGGCTCATGCCTGTAATCCCAGCACTTTGGGAGGCCGAGGCAGGCAGATCGCCTGAGGTCAGGATTTCAGCAACACGGTGAAACCCCGTCTCTACTAAACACAAAAAATTAGCTGGGTGTGATGAAGGAAAGTTATAGTGAAAATTTGACATGATCGGCATAATTTCTTACGTGAAAGCTGCCTCCATTATATAGGTTCTTCCAGGAACTCAAACACTGTTAAGTGAAACATGGGAGTATAGTTTTTATTATTTCTTCTTTTCTTTTTGTTTTCATAATAAAAGGCACTTTGTTCAGGAAATCAGCACAAATCGGCATTCTTTGGATTTCCTCATTCTGTGGTTCAAGATTCATTTTTGTTGAGTCCTTCTGAGAAGAAACAATATGAATCTTAACAGTTTCTGTCCATCCTAATGGCAGAGCTCTCTGACTTGGGCACATGCTGCCAGGCTGGGTAGTTTTATACTTTGTTTTCTTGTTTTGCTTTAAACCTATGACTCAGCATACATTTTGCCCAATACATTTTACCACTGAGCCTTAGGACTGAATCACCTCCACTTAAATTGATGACACAAGTAGCTAATAACCATTTTCGGGTTTCTACCTAACCTTCTAATTGTCTGTTAAAGCCAATTTTCTGCGTGTCCTAGTGAATGGTGGCTCTTTTTCTTTCCACACTGGCACATATGCGTTTACGTAATTGGAAACGTCTGTATTTCTGATGCCAAAGGGTTAAAGCCTCTTAGATTTAATTGCAGTGATATGCAGCCACTATTTTATTTTTGAT